AGTGGGAGAGAGATCTTTTATTGTTGGACCAGAATTTTTCTTAAGGGTTCTTGAAAATTGAGTGTAGATACATGACTTTTTATAGCAATTTGATCTGGTTGCTATAGACTTTATATTTAGTTGATACACGTGTTTGAGTAGACATCTCTGTTTATTTTAACAGAGGAATTGATGTCTACCGGCGTGATTTTTTCGACAGTTCGGGTAACGTTCAGATAACTATTGCCCAGAAAGAATATAAATATGGGATCTGATGATAAATTCAACAGATTTATCAAACATCAGATCCTGATTCACTTGAACCTTTCTTTATTCATTGAATAAACTTTATTATGTTTCAGAAAGAAAATCTCTCCGTCTGCGCTATTATAAGAATCAACGCTTCCAAAATATGGTGTAAATTGATTACATTTCTCAGTCTTCGCATATCATAATGAAATGATGGCCAAAATATCGAAAAGATTACCGATACTGTATTATTTTGAATTTTTTTTATTGTTGTTGGGACTATTGAACCCATTCATTTTGTTTTGTTTTAATTGTTGCACCATCCAGCCTCAGGATTTCTTTACGTGTACAAACCGCATGGAAAGACAAAGAGGTTCACATTTTATCGGTATTGCCAACTAGAATACTCTACCCTTCTCTTTTCCTGGGGACGATACATTTGAAGAAGGCCTAGAATGAATTGGTCGAACGTTAATCCATCGATTTCGTTGCGATAACAAGAAAACAATAGCTTCCACATTCCGAACAACTCTTGAAATGATAACGATTCCTCGCAGAAGTACAGCCGGTATTTATTTAATTAAATATGTTTAACGACAAGTAAACGAAAAGACATCATCAGCGTTTTCATTGCTTTCGTTTAAAGAGAATAAGAAAGAAACATCATGGTTAAAATAGTCTGGGATTTCCCATCGGAAGAAGAGATGGATGTTCGGGCACAAGTTAATAGTAATGATTTCGAATTCGTATTTTCGCAGTAAACAGCCTCTTCTTTAACTTTGAAAATTGGCGTAACACACTCTTTCCTACTTCCTTCATTTGGCCTCATACTTTACTAAAATCATTTTGCAAGGAGTGATAAAAATGCAGGACGCCTCCAATTTGTAAAGAACTTCTCGCCATAGAGCAAACTATTCTATCGTGGCAGTGCAGTTGTCCTCACTAGATGCTCTATACTTGAGATTTTATGTCATATTAAGTTTAAAAAAGTAAAAACAATAGAGAGAAAATGAAAATAATATATATATATATATATATATATATATATATATATATATATATATAATATTCAAAAATTAACGGCAGCATCTGTAGAAAACCGGAAGTTAAATGGCAACAACTGAAAGAAGAAGGAAAAAGATAGAAAAAGTGAAAAGGTTAAGGAGTGAGTGCAAAGTGCAAAGTGGAAAAAAAAAAAAAAAACGACGAAAGGACAACTAATCATGGCATTCTACACGTAATCACATCCACGCAGACGGACGTATGTGGACACACGCACATACACTTTGAAAAAAAACTTGCAACAATAAAAAGTGTACATATGAAATCGAGAAGTATAAGCAGTCAATTGTTGATAGCCCGTGACCATTGAACGGAATAATTCTCGAGAGTCAGTATACAAAACTCGAGAGTCAGGATGCTGATGGTAACACCAATTTTACTTGTCTTAATTATATATATATATATATATATATATATATATATATATATATATATATATATATATATGAATTATTTATGTATAATTCTATATAAATCAGATTTCCGAAAACATCTTGCTGTAAGAGAGGCCCTGTATATTAAACATCTCTTTCCTACTATCAGCCACACCTTATTTAACAGTAAAACGAATATTATTATGTCTATTTTTGGCAGATTAATGACAAATTAGATGTATTCTTTGTAACACGTTACATTCACAAGAATGACTTCACCGGGCTAAAGTAATGTTTTTATTGGTGGAGTTATATATATAGAGAGAAGTGGAACGACGATTAAAAAAGGGCGCGTCAGTTATAATTATATATCAATGGCAATCGCTGAAGATGTTGAAACAATGAAATTTAAATTGGAAATATTTTTTGTTACTCGTGTTTGGACATATTGTTCAGCCGATCTCATTCAGTTTTCCTCCGCTTTTGTTCTTATCAATTTTGATATTAAGTATTGAACACACTGTGATAACAGAAGATCGACCGAAAAAGAAAAAATGTTGACATGGATAATACCTTTGACCAATACTGTTCTCTTATATAGTAATTTATATATCATATTCGCCCCTGTCTCTCTCTCTATATATATATATATATATATATATATATATATATATATATATATATATATATATATATATGTGTGTGTGCAAGTTTCGTTGAAAACGACTGACAAGGTGCAGTGGTTGAGTTTCTTATATAATTTTTCATGTGTTCGTATATTTCTTCTTTTCAGGACATAAATTATATAAAAATTGTCCGATTGTGTTCCAAGTACTTTCGGCTATATTTTTAGACATTATAAAGGATGAATTTTATTAAGTTCTGCCAGAAATTATGAAATGCTGCAAGACCTTGGGCGCAAATCCACTGTGGGTGACCTTGCGATCAAGGCACACTGTTAACTACGTCAAAAATGTTTAGAGCTTGCCTTGATCGCAAGGCCATCCATTGTCAATTTACGCCTTGGCTCCTACAACACTTCACCATTCCTGACAAAGACTCCACTATCACAATGTGGGACATCTAATAAGAAAAGTGATGGAAAAAAAAAGAAAAAAAAAAAAAAAGAATCCAGATGAAATTGGCTAGATTAAAAATAAAGAAAGTTAAAAAAATTAATTTATAAATTCCCAGCATCGCCCATTTGTGCGCATGTGTAGTCGCACCAACAGAACAAATTTAATCCAGTAAAGTCCTAAAGGTTAAAAGACGTCACAAGTAAATTTTTACTATATATATATATATATATATATATATATATATATATATATATATATATATATATATATATATATATATATATGATAAATAATACACAAATATATATATACAATGTAACCCGGATATAAGAGAAATTTTCTCTGGTCCCAATGTGTTCCCATACTTACCTAAACAAAATAGACCAAACCCGGATATAAAAAGAAACCCGGATATAAGTGACTTCTTCTCCGGTCCCGACAACTCTCTTATATCCGGGTTACACTGTATATATATTTCCATTATATATATATATATATATATATATATATATATATATATATATATATAAGTGCAATACTATTTGAGTAGTAAAAACAAATGTTTAAATGTATTTTGTCATGGTGTGGCTCTCGTGATTCGCGTCTTCTTGTCGCATGTTAGAAAAGTGTTCATTTTAATTTTATGGTAAGTAAAATTTGTTCGAAATCTTTGTTCCTCGCAGGCCGACGTTAATCTGGCGATAAAAGCCTACAGAATGGAAGACAATGGGTGAGTGACGAAAAAAGCATCCGCAGAAAAGTGTTACTTTTTGTTTTAGCCGTCGGCTGTGTGCCATTTGTGACGAAATGAAGAAGTGCTAGCTAATAAAAAAAATGAGTGTAGATAGGTGGAGAGGCGCATTGTCAAGTGTAATAAACTGGAGGATCAGTAGGTGATGAAGAGGAGAGAATAAAGAGGGTGGAATAAAAATCGGGAGATAGAAGTTAAAAAAAAAGAAAAAAGGAGTGGGTGAAAGGTAAACAAAACAGTGAGAGAGATATAAAGAGTTCTAAGAGGTGAAACTTCTCAAAAATAAGTAAATAAATAAATAAAACCAATTAAAAAAAGGTGACAAGAAAAAAAGACCATTTAGGGGACAGAAGAAAGAATAGACAAGGCAAGTCGAGTGAAAAAGAAAGCGGACAGCTTCGGTGTGTAAATAATTACATGTTTCTTCTTAGTACCAGTGCCCTAGCCATGATAAAAGCGAGGATTTACAATTCTGGTTATTGAGCAGGTAGGAGATCCATATTTGGAAGTTTGGTAATATTTTGACATTTATACACAGTTTTTTTTTTATCTTGTGTCGTATTAAGCTTATTTTTAGTAAATATCAAAAACAAGGAAAAGCGAAAAAGTTAAAAAAGAAAGGAAACAAATGACGTGAAGTATGTGATTAAAAACAAAAGAAGGAAAAAGAGAAGGAAGAAATAAATAATGTAAAGACGAAAAAAAGAAAAACAGAAGAATAAGAAAAATGATAAAAAGACGACAAAGAATGGAAAAGATATACAGACGAATAAGTACGGAAAATAGAATTAAAAAGACGAACAAAAAAAGAAAAGAGAGAATTATAAAGAGGAATAGAAAATAAAGATGTAAAAACCAGATGAAGGAAAAATATGTAAAGACGAAAAAGGAAAGTGGATTTGTTCAAGGACGAAGAAGAATGAAAAATGATGTAAAGACGAAAAAGGAAAGTGGATTTGTTCAAGGACGAAGAAGAATGAAAAATGGTGTAAAGACGAAGAATGAAAGTGGATTTGTTCAAGGACGAAGAAGAATGAAAAATGGTGTAAAGACGAAGAAGGAAAGTGGATTTGTTCAAGGACGAAAAAGAACGAAAAATGGTGTAAAGACGAAGAAGGAAAGTGGATTTGTTCAAGGACGAAGAAGAATGAAAAATGGTGTAAAGACGAAAAAGGAAAGTGGATTTGTTCAAGGACGAAGAAGAAAATGAAAAAGACGAAAAAGTGTAAAGACGAAAAAGGAAAAATGGTGGACGAAAAAGTAAAAGTGGATTTGTTCAAGGACGAAGAAGAATGAAAAATGGTGTAAAGACGAAAAAGGAAAGTGGATTTGTTCAAGGACGAAGAAGAATGAAAAATGGTGTAAAGACGAAAATGGAAAGTGGATTTGTTCAAGGACGAAGAAGAATGAAAAATGGTGTAAAGACGAAAAAGGAAAGTGGATTTGTTCAAGGACGAAGAAGAATGAAAAATGGTGTAAAAGACGAAAAAGGAAAAGTGGATTTGTTCAAGGACGAAGAAGAATGAAAAATGGTGTAAAGACGAAAAGGAAAGTGGATTTGTTCAAGGACGAAGAAGAATGAAAAAATGGTGTGGATTTGTTCAAGGACGAAGAAGAATGAAAAATGGAAAGACGAAAAAGGAAAGTGGATTTGTTCAAGGACGAAGAAGAATGAAAAATGGTGTAAAGAAAAAGGAAAGTGGATTTGTTCAAGGACGAAGAAGAATGAAAATGGTGTAAAAGACGAAGAATGAAAGTGGATTTGTTCAAGGACGAAGAAGAATGAAAAATGGTGTAAAGACGAAGAAGGAAAGTGGATTTGTTCAAGGACGAAGAAGAATGAAAAATGGTGTAAAGACGAAAAAGGAAAGTGGATTTGTTCAAGGACGAAGAAGAATGAAAAATGGTGTAAAGACGAAAAAGGAAAGTGGATTTGTTCAAGGACGAAGAAGAATGAAAAATGGTGTAAAGACGAAAAGGAAAGTGGATTTGTTCAAGGACGAAGAAGAATGAAAAATGGTGTAAAGACGAAAAAGGAAAGTGGATTTGTTCAAGGACGAAGAAGAATGAAAAATGGTGTAAAGACGAAAAAGGAAAGTGGATTTGTTCAAGGACGAAGAAGAATGAAAAATGGTGTAAAGACGAAAAAGGAAAGTGGATTTGTTCAAGGACGAAGAAGAATGAAAAATGGTGTAAAGACGAAGAAGGAAAGTGGATTTCTCAAGGACGAAGAAGAATGAAAAATGGTGTAAAGACGAAAAAGGAAAGTGGATTTGTTCAAGGACGAAGAAGAATGAAAAATGGTGTAAAGACGAAAAAAGGAAAGTGGATTTGTTCAAGGACGAAGAAGAATGAAAAATGGAAAGACGAAAAAGGAAAGTGGATTTGTTCAAGGACGAAGAAGAATGAAAAAATGGTGTAAAGACGAAAAAGGAAAGTGGATTTGTTCAAGGACGAAGAAGAATGAAAAATGGTGTAAAGACGAAGAAGGAAAGTGGATTTGTTCAAGGACGAAGAAGAATGAACAATGGTGTAAAGACGAAAAAGGAAAGTGGATTTGTTCAAGGACGAAGAAGAATGAAAAATGGTGTAAAGACGAAGAAGGAAAGTGGATTTGTTCAAAGGACGAAAAATGAAAAATGGTGTAAAGACGTAGAAGGAAAAGTGGATTTGTTCAAGGACGAAGAAGAATGAAAAATGGTGTAAAGACGAAGAAGGAAAATGGATTTGTTCAATGACGAAGAAGAATGAACAATGGTGTAAAGACGAAAAAAGAAAAGTGGATTTGTTCAAGGACGAAGAAGAATGAAAAAAATGATGTAAAGACGAAAAAAAGAAAATGGATTTGTTCAAGGACGAAGAAGAATGAAAAATGGGGTAAAGACGAAGAAGGAAAATGGATTTGTTCAAGGACGAAGAAGAATGAAAAATGGTGTAAAGACGAAGAAGGAAAATGGATTTGTTCAAGGACGAAGAAGAATGAAAAATGGTGTAAAGACGAAGAAAGAAAATGGATTTGTTCAAGGACGAAGAAGAATGAAAAATGGTGTAAAGACGAAGAAGGAAAGTGGATTTGTTCAAGGACGAAGAAGAATGAAAAATGGTGTAAAGACGAAAAAGGAAAGTGGATTTGTTCAAGGACGAAGAAGAATGAAAAATGGTGTAAAGACGAAGAACAGTGTTACTGAAAAATGTTGAAAGAAGAACTTGTATGCAAATATAGAAAGCGAAATAAAAGAATAGATTGAAAAAAAATTGTTGTTGTTTTAAAATCCCGTGAGGCCTAGTAGTCTGTGAAGCGCGTTAGCTGACGAGCAAACTTATTACTGATTTGAAATGACCAGATCATTAGCAGCTCCTTAAAGACATTGCTCGCCATTTTTTTCTGCCGCACTAATTTCTCTTGACATCTAACTAATGAAGCTCTGGACATAATCTATTATCGTTGTAATATCGATTGCTTAATCATTGTCTCACCTTTGAAACAGCTGCCTCCATTTTTTATCGCTATCTTTTCCGCACATCTTTTCTCACTGTTCTTATGAAACATAGAAAGAGATGAGAATGAACAACAGCATTGTCGTCGTGCGTGAGATGGTGAGATTGAATATGTATACAAGTGGGGAGGGGGGTAGTGAAAAGCAACGTGTGAAGGGGAAAAGGAAGCGTGGTGAATCTGAACGGCACAAATAAAAATACAAAATGCGAATAGAAAGGTTTATGCTGATACCATGCATAGTTGGTCAGATTCGGAATTTACAGTAAAGATACATCGCTCTCCAACACCTACAATCACTTTTTCTATTGCTCTCACTATGCAGGTTCGAACCCTGTCGGAAGATTCATTTTCTTTATTAAGTTTTCTTGGGTATGCAGGCCGGTAGACAAAACAAATACCGTTTAAAATAATCGGAACGTCTACTTAAATACGTGTAACGATGTAAATAAAATTTGAAGTTATAAAAATATGTTGGATTAAAAAAAATAAAATCCATTAATTCTTTAGAAATTGCTTTACGTTTTGGATGCGAAACTGGGTAGGTATGGTCTTCGAGAAAATCTAACCGAGTCTGTGCCTTAAAGGCAAAATAGAACCTTGATTTATTGTGATGTTCTTCGTATCCGAGTGGTGGAAACACACCGGGACAGACGGTGGTTCTAACTGCAGTGCAGGCAGGGGATGCAAGTTCGAGTTTTCTCGAATAAGCAGGCCGGTAGACGAAACAGATACTGTTTAAAATAAACGGAGTGTCTACTCAATTACGGGTATCCACTAAAAATCACGTTTGAAGAAATATATATATATATATATATATATATATATATATATATAGCTGGAGGGAGAGTAAGAGGATTCATATCTTTCCCAAGGGTATTAGCACGTAAGTGAATGTAATGGATTCGACTGGAATTCGAACTCGGCTCTGGGAAAGGTATGCATCCTCTTACTCTCCCTCCAGCTATGGGTAAAATAGCAGGACAGACTCGGTTCTATAGCCTTGGATGGCAACTGGTCTAGGAGAAGGACAACTCAAAACCTGCGGAGGGTCGTTTGGGAACCTTGTGGCATTCGGTGCACCAGGTCTCTGTATTCGTCTCTTCAAAAAGTGTGGATGGTCTTGCACGAGGCCTTCACCACTATAATCAAATCTCATGTGCCGGTGTCGGGCTGTTGGTTTCCTGGAAACTGATCTGCTTGACCCTCATACGTCGAATCTCGACGGGAGAGTCGATTATTATTATTATTATTATATATAATCATGCGTTAGTCACCCCGACCCCAAAAAGTCTTATTCAGACTTATGATGGTTTTATCAATGGAGTCTTATATATGTAAGGGAGGGGAAATGAATTACAATAAACGCTGATTACAATTCTACCTCGCGAAACGCTGAAGATATAGAGACGCTTAATGAGGAATGGGTAAAAACGAGGTAAAATGGGGAAGAGGTAACAGAGCAGTGGATAACTCATATAACGAGATTGTGTAAATATTTGGAAGACCAGGGATTAGGAGAGATAGCAAAATAGACAAAGCTTAGAGCTACGAAGAAAAGGAAGTTGCAGAGGTTCCCGATCGCGTAAGGCCTGACGGGAAACGCCACATAGAAAAAGAATCAGATGTCGCAGCCAAAGAATTAGTGGGTTTTTTTTTCATACTGAGGTTATTAACGCTAGCTGGATTTAAAATTTAGCCCGACCCAAGTAGATCTTTTGCTTGGTCTTGAAATTCACTTTCACCCTTGAAATGATTCCAATTTGTATTTTCTATTTTAATTAATTAATCAATTATTTTTCTTTTTCTTATTTGTTTCTTTTAATTTTAACCATACGTTTGATTGTTTGCGTTAGCATTAATAATATACTCCAGTTCACTTCTGACGAATTCTTCGAAACCTACTATTGAGTATCAAGAAACATAACGGAAGAATTGATAAATCTTCAACCCAAACTACTTCTCAACATCTGACCAAATGACAAAACGGCAGATTTCTTCCTGAAAGGGTTTCTTCGTTAGGCTGTGAACTTTTCAGCATTTCCTCACACACTTTCAAACTCACTTTCTTTCGCTGTTGTCGTCTTATATAATTGTTTCTATTTTCCAATCATAAATGTCGTATTGCCACCGTCTAATCAACTCTTTATCTGTGTTATTTTTCTATCTCTGTTTGTCACTCACATCTCGGTACAATGGAATTGTTTTCAATAAAGTTAATGTTGCCCTTTTCAGTTGTTTAATCCAACAACATTCTTTTTTCAACAAATCTTTCGCCCTCAGTTCATTTATTTGTTTATCGATAAAAAGAACTTTTTTTTTCCTGGCTTATTTGAGATAATTCTCCATATTTAATTCTTGAAAGATTCTCCCGTCCAGGTGTCTGCCTTATCTATTTTAGTTATGCACTTCTGACATCCAGTATCCCGTCGTGTTTACAGTCGGTAATGATAAGCCAATTTTCCTTATGTTTGCCTCTTGCAAAATATTTTTAAATTTTAGTAACGTAACTCTGGAGTATATACTTCTCCATTTCTTCAATATGCCTAAGTAAATTATTTATTTACTTTTAATGCTATTTTCTTTCAGGTTCTATGCGATCATGGCTCTCCACAGATTGTTTTTTTATTATCTGTGAATTGCCTTCACGTTCGGGATTGATAGTTTATTTTACTTTTTTTTTGGTTTTGAAATCGTATTTTTCTTTCTCTTAGATTAGTTATCACCTAAGCCTAGAGAACACAATCTACTTTTCTATATATTAGATTGCTCGGAAAATAATGTCCGATTTTAGAATCAATCTTTTAATCATGTTCTACTACATTATTTTTATTATAATAGTTGCAAGAAAATACGTTACTCATTCCTAAAGATTAAAGTGTTCTTTTCTTCTCAAATACGTGTATAAACTGGAAAATAGTATTAAGTTGTTCGAAAAATAATGTCCGATTTTAAAATCAACCTTTTAATTGGGTTCTAATATATCTTTATAAGAGCTGCACGAAAATATATTACCTGTTCCTAATGATTAAAGTGTTCTCTTTGTTAATTTTATCTCAATCATTTTCAGAATTTAACATAAATTATTATATACCCGTCATCTTGAACATAAAACATAAGAGATGTTTACTTTTTTTGTATGTTTTCAAGCTTGGTCATAATGCTTCTCAAACTGCTGCCAACATTAAAAGAGCAGGGGGTGAAGGATACACTTGAGATCGGACAATATGGCGCTGGTTTTTGAAGTTCATTGGTGGAGATATGAATCTTGATCAAGGTGGTAGAGAACGTCCATCTGCAGTTGGCAATCGACATATGAAAACACTAATCGGAACAAACCCATTTCAAAGTGTCAGAGAAGAGTTTCAGATAATGGGTGTCAGCATTTCAACAAGAAGTTGGCAAAGGTGAAGAAACTCGATAAATAGGTTCCATGTGAACTCAATGAAAGTCAAAGAATTCGACGTTTGAAGTGTGTTGATGTTACATCTTCGAAATTCGACTAATCCATTTCTTGATCGAATAATGATTTATGATCAGGCATGGATCCTTTATGATAATCGTCATTGATTGGCACAATGTCTTGATCATGACGAAGCATTCAAAACCGAAATTACACCAACAGTAGATTATTGTAATTGTTTGGTGTTATTTATGAGAGATTTCTAGAATATAATGGGAGCATCAGTGTTGAAGTTTGTTGCCAGCAACTGGATGAAATGTACATTCAATTAAGCAAAATGCGAGCGGCAGTGGTTAATCGACGAGGTCCAATTCTACTTCATGACAATATTCGTCCACATGCTGCACATGCTGCCATTAGCCGGTGAGACTTGGGATACAAGACTTTGCCACATCCAACATATTCCCGGGTTCTCTCGCCCACAGCATTAAAACTTTTTAAAGCATCTTGACGTTCCTTTACAAAGATGCAGAAACTACATTCAAAAGATTTCTTGGCGTCACAACCGTTAGATGTTTTATCGTAAACGTATAATCTTGTAACTCGATGGCAGAAATGTATAGATGTTCAAGGTTCCTATTTTGACTCATTTAAACAACAGTGTTTAATTACGGTTATTCAGGAATAAATGTTGATTTTAAAATCGGATATTATTCCCCCCCCCCAAAAAAAAACTGTGTCAAAAGGACGGATTTTTCGTTGACACCACTATTATTTTGATACCTTCACTCTCCAGCAATTTTTATTATTTTAAAAAGAAAGGATCAGAATTGTAATAAAACCTAAATATATGAAAGTCAATTTATACACTTTTTTGTTCTTGAGAATTGTCAATAAAAATAATAAAGACTATTTATTTATTAGATTGTTTATTTACAACTTTTATTAATTATATTATTTATTAAAATGGTTAGCAAATCATCGTCTAATTGCCAATTGGTTTGAACTTTATAAAATGGTAAATAATAAGGATTTCCTTATTGTTGGTTCACATATTATGATAATTTAGTAAATATTTAAAAATATATGAATAAAAATTTGTTTTCATATTTATTTGTTTATAACTTGGTAAATTATAAATATTAGATTAGTTTTAATTATGCTAGTTTTTATAATATTGCAAATATATGATTATTCTTGTAAATAAACGATCTAATAAATAAATAATGTTTAATATTTTTGTTGTAAATTCTTAAGAACCAAAAAAATAAATGTATAAATTCACTTTCATCATACATTTAGGTTTTATTAGAATTCGAATCATCGCTTTTTTAAGCAATAAAAATTACCGAGAAGTGAAGGTAGTTAAAATAATAGCGGTATCAAAGGAAAATCCGCCCTCTTGACACTCCGTTGTTTTTGCCGGTGCGAAGGTCCATGTATACCTTATTTTGTCTAGTTAGAAAACAGTTTTCATTTTCAGAACGCAGGCTAAAATAATGAAAGAAAAGCAGAGTAAGTTACGATATAATTTTGACTGGATACCTCCGCTTTTTCTCTAAAAAAACAGCATAGCATAATGAAAAAAAAGGCACCAAACTTAATAAAAAACAAATTTTATCGTC